CATTGAGGTTAATTCAGCCAACGGTGATGGGCAAACGATTTGCGCAAAGCACTGAGCGTAATCATCAAATTATGAAGGTTATAGAGGCATACCGGTGTCGAAAACGAGGTGCACCACTGTACAAATAGCAGATTAGTCGCGCAGCGAGCTTCTTTCCAAAGCTTGCTCCATGGAGTGGAGTCCACATCGAGCAACTTAACGAAAAGATCAGCAACAGACTTGTTAAACTCCTGCAACTCGATCACTATGAATCGATTGCGGACGACTCGAAACACCAGCGTCTTGTTATGGTGATGCTGCAGAACGCGAAGGTATCTTGTTAATACATCCACGTATTGACTCAGCAAGTTGCCGGAAGGAAGTTGGTCGTCTCGATCCATCTCGTGGAGCTCAGTAAAGAGGTTCCGGAGGCGAGAGTGGATACGTTCACAAGCCGGTCGACACTCGTCCATCAGGAGACCGGGCTGCTGCGCTGTGGAGAGCGCTCGGGTCATAGAGCCCTCTCCAGGAACCGCCAAACCCAGTAGCGAGCGCATTCATCATGACGGATATTTGGCGTGGCTATTTCTGTAAAAAGATAATTTATTTGGACCAAAATTATGGTCAAATTTGCAGCGGACTTGGAATTATGTAATGTCACTTACCCACAATAAGAAATCAGAAAATGAGAAAGTTAGAAAAATAACATTTGCGAAACTGAAAGACGACCTTCCAGCAACATCCTCACAGCCATTATAAATTAACAACCTTCATGCAACATCGCTTAGAAATCGGCGCCTCTTCCTTTTCTAACCACAACGAAATCTGAGAACCGCACGAAAGGTCGAAGCCACCAAGCTATAAGCGCCGGCCATGGCGTCCCACATGAAGAACAGCGCGACGCAGCTCCCTGCCATGTCGTCGCAGCTGTCGTCCATCCACAGCGACGACGAAGCTCAACAAGAGCAACGCCACAAGCTGTTTGCAATGTGTCAACGTCACGAGCTGACTGACGTCGTGCTACTGCTACAACCAGAGCATCTGGAGTCTCAAATCGAAGGACTAGACGACGTCCACGAGGTGGCTGCACACCGAGTCATATTAGCCACATCCAGTCCCTATTTCTACGCTCTATTCACCAGCGGGATGAAGGAATCACAGGAGATATCGCCTAGAGTTCCGCTGCCTGGCGTGCCCGTCGGGGCCTTCAACGAACTGCTGAGATACATCTATATGGGCGAGTTAAGAGTGTCAGGAGACACAATACTCTCTGTGCTACACGCTGCCAATCGCCTGGAGCTGGAGGAGGTCGTAAAGATCTGCTGCAAGCAGTTGATGCTGGAGCTCAATGTGAATAACTGCGTGGACATTTACATGTGCTGCGAGCAGCTCCAGATGAGAGCAGCTTGCAGACTACTAGCACAAGCGGCACGAGCGCTGATCGACACGTACTTCTGCGATGTGTATCAGACTGAAGGCTTCAAGAACTTGTCGCTACACGCAGTGATGAAGATTCTCCAAAAAGAGAGGTCTACGAGGGGCGACACTGCAGTCAAGAGCTGGATGATGCGTCATCCCATAGCCAAACAAAGACAATTGTCGGAAGTAATGCAGTTGCCCAGTAGAACGGACGCAGCGCCGATGAAACGGACTAGTGGCAACGCTATGGTCAACAGCAAGGAGAGACGCTCGTCCGTGTCTATCGATGACTCTATGGACGTGTATACTGCAGATGTATTGGCGCGCGAGATTGAAGATAACGCCAAGCATCAATTGACCCCCACAATGTTCGTCATTGGAGGGTTTAACAACCCTGGAGCGCTGAATACAGTGGAGTATCTGGACTTCCATCGTGGCGAGTGGTACCCTGCGGCGCCAATGGCTACAAGACGATCGTATAGTGGCGTCGTAGTCTCAAGTGACAACAAGATATTCGTCATGGGAGGTACGAGCAGCAGTTCACATCATCATAAAAGTATGGAGATGTATAATCCAGAGTCCAATACGTGGACGTCGATGCCGTCGATGAAAGATCCACGCAGTTACCTTGGAGCGACAGTGGTGGGGGATTTTATCTACGCCGTTGGCGGATTTAATGGCCAAGCGCATTTGTCGTCAGTGGAGCGATTCGACGTTCACACGCAGCAATGGGAGAGCATGCCGCCGCTCTCGACTGGACGTAGTGGGCTTGCAGTTGTCGCATTGAACGGACTGGTGTACGCTATTGGCGGATATGACGGTAGGAAGCACTTGAAGAGCGTGGAAGTGTTCGATCCTCAGCTCAATCAATGGTCGACTGTGGCTAGTATGCGTCATGCTCGGAATGGTCCAGCGGCGGTTGTGCAGGAACATAGTAACAGTATTCTGGTCTTTGGAGGGGAATCTCGTCACGGAGCGAGGATGAACACAAGCGAGCGAATGGACTTAACCAGCGGCACATGGAGTGACGCTGACGGCTTTGCAGACTGTCGTAGTGGCCATGTGGCGGTCGGTTTTCTAAAGGAGTCGTTCGTCTTTTGCTTGGGAGGGTCCAACAAGAAAGACGAGTACTTGGACGCTGTGCATCGGTACGATTACTTGTCTAAACAGTGGACTTTGCACTCGCAGATGCGAGCACAGCGTTGCGGACTGAATGTGGCAGTGGTCAAGACGTCCAGATATGCAGAGTGTTTTGCAGGACAGAAGCAGAGGGAGCATCAACTGCACAATGCGTCATCGTATCTGTTGCGAAAGAATTACCAGGAAAAT